ATTTGATCCCTCGCGCGATAATCACGTTTCGTTTCCGACTACGTCGCATTTCAAGGTCGGCCGCATCCCGGCGGCGCTGCCGCAATAGAGGCTGAGGATCGTCGTCACCGGTGGGGCCGGATTCGTCGGGAGCCGCCATTCTTGAGTCCTTCTTAACAAGATCGTCGATCTCAAATTCGCAAGGGGACGAGCCACACGACAAGCTTATGCGACTCGCGATCTCTGATCAACGGAGTTTGCATCACGACAGAGAACAAAAATAGAGAGAAGAAACTTGGAAGAGAGAGAAATGAGATCCGAAAGCCGCCATGAAATCTGGTGACTTCGCCTGAGGAGCATCGAGCTCCACTGTGGCGTGAGCTTTCTAAAATCGCCATTGCTCCAGATGAAATTTGGGGAAAAAAGTGAAGAAGAAGATGCTTTTCTAACGGGGGGTATTTAAGTCCTTTTACTGAAAAAAGGCACGTGATGTGTCACGTCACATGTTTTATTAAAAATTTAAGAGACGTTTAGTAAAGAGATTCATACTATGATTTGAATCATAGTTCATGGTTCGCTACAGTTTTTTCTCTCATAAAAAATGCACGTAAATTAAAAATAATTCTAATCTCATGATTCTAATTTATGAACCAAAGTCTTTTTAATGAAATTTGATAAAAAAAAATACTAAACGGTCACATTTTAAAAAATTTAAGAGTTGTTTTATAAAAAAAATAAAAATTAAACTGTTACTTATTAAAAAGTTTGAGAACAATATGTGTAATTTACTCTTTTAAAAAAATATATTTAGAGAGAAATGAGGTGAAAAATGAAATTTAGAAGTTTTTTTAAGTTTTTAATTTAAAACTTAAAATATAAAATTGTGTCATAATTTACAATTTTTAAAAAATATGTTATAATATATTAATCACTTCACCAATTATATAATTTTCCTCTTTATCCAAAAAAAAAATCTTAGATAAGTAATTTTCTAGTATAGTAATTAATGTGTGACGCCTAAACAAAAAGAACAAAGCTATGGGACACAAAATAATAACCCCCATGATATTCCTCGCGACCTTCTTTTATTTGGCTTTCATTACAACTTGCTCCAGGCCAATTCCAAACCCCTTTGCATCCCACTGTGGAATATTTCTATATTTACGCAGTAAAAAAATAAATTGAAATAAAAATAACAAATAAATAAATAAAATAAAGATTTAGGTAGTTCGAAAAAATTTTTTACGCCTGCATAAAAGAGAGAAAAATTCACTAATATTTTTAGAATTGCACACTCATACAATTTTTTCACTTTTTCTCTCTACCCAAAACCTCTTACACCATTATATATCTCTCTCCTCACTTTTGACTTACTCCTACCCATATTCGGATCTGACTATGCCACTAAAACTTGTTCAGTATGAGATGTAACACTAGGTTTTTTTATATTTGTTGTCTTTAACAAAGCAGTCAACATCTCATCTATAGTCAACGTCGTCTTTCTAACTAAAAGTATAGTCACCAAAGTCTCATATGATTTGGGTAGAGAGGCCAATAAAACTACAACTTTATCTTCCTCATCAATTTTGACCTATATACTTAACAATTGAGTTATGCACTTATTAAAATTATTTATATGATCCATAACATCAATTTTCTCATCCATCTTTAACTCATATAATTGCTTCTTCAAATATAATCTATATGCTAGGGATTTTGACATATTAACTTTTTCTAATTTTTTTCATAACTCAGAAGGAGATGTTTAATTCATAACACTATATTTCAGTTCAAGAACCAAACTTAAACGAATAGTGCTTCCTGCTTTTGCTTCCAATTCTTCATAATCTTCATCTTTCATATATGCTGGCTTCTTTTCTTGCACACTTTCAGTAATCTTTGTTGAATCCAAACATCTTTCACCGTACTCTACTAAATGCTGAAATTACTTTTTTCGTCAAATTGCTCAATATTCTCAAACTTTATCCCGGACATCATCTTGACTTTTTTTTTAATCTTCACCACTGCTCTAATACCAGTTGTTGGAAAAAATACACCCCTATACCCACGCAACAGAAAAATAAACCGAAACAAAAATAACAAAAAAATAGAGAAAATAAAGATTTAGGTGGTTCAGAAAAATTTCCTATGTCCATAGAAGAGGGAGAAAAATTCACTCAGTTTTATAATTACACACTCATATAACTTTCTCACATTCTCTCTCTACCTAAAACCCTTACACCATTACCTATCTCTCTCCTTACTTTTCTCTCTTTCTCTCAAAAAAAATACATTCTTTCTCTACACTATTATATGAGCACACTTTTTTAACTCAAAATAGTAAATTTTTCAAAATTAATTTGAGTCACTTACCTAACGCCACCCATCTCCACCTTTCCCCGCCGTCTTCACCATCGGCGACTCAACCATCGACTCGGGCAACAACAACGGGCTTGCAACGATCTTCCGAGGCGACCACCCTCCATACGGCCGTTACTTTCCCGCAGTGGCGGAGCCAGCCTTTCACTTCAGTGGGGGCGTACACTAAATTTTTTTTTAACAAATTATCTTATTGGAGGTATATAAGAAAATATATTTATTTTAGTAGGGGCATATATTATTTCAATGAAGGCTTAAGTGTAAAGTTTTAAAATTTTTAAAAGGTAATTTTTTTCAAAAAAATTTGAATGGGGGTGGCTGCCCCAGCTCATCTTCAAGTGGCTCCGCCATTGCTTTCCCGGCCACAAGCCAACAGGCAGGTTTTCTAATGGAAAGCTCACTACTGACTACTTGGTCATCAACTTGGGCATCAAGGACCCCTTGCTGGCCTACCTAAGCCCGTCGCCGACCGACCAGGACCTCGCCACTGGTGTCAGCTTCGCCTCCGGGGGCTTCGGCTTAGACGATGCCACCACTGCCCTCACCGGGGTCATAGACATGGCTAGGCCGTTGTAATACTTCTATGAGGCCATCAACAGATTGGAGAGAGCTTTGGGGAGAAACAAGTCCCAGGAATTGGTGAGGAATTCGATGTTTGTTATTAGTGTTGGGACAAATGATGTCGTGTTTAATCTAATAGAGTTATACATATTCATTCAGGTATGCATATTCATTTGAAGATAATATAATAGAGTTGTAAGAGATTGGGTGCTATTCCTAGCATCATGTAGTTCTATTAGTCATGATGATGATTATTATTTTATGTGATCTTATATGATCACATGTTTATTTTTTTATTCATTTATTTTGTGCAGAGTTGTGTCACGCAGCAGAACATCGACTCTCAAACCTACAACTCCAAACTTCAACTCCTCTCTAACCTCTAATCCTCCTTGCCTGACTCTGGAACCGTTACTTTGACATCTATGGTGTTATGATGGACGTGATCACTTACCCATCTAAATATGGTAACATGCAACATAAGAAAATCTTGTACTCATATTTGCTTTAATTTGGGTTTTGATATTAATATTTTGCTAATTGAACACTTAATTTCTTTTTATTGGTTTTTATAATTGAAGGATTTCAAAACACTATTCAAGGTTGCCGTGGAGCAGACTTGATGGATACGGGTCCTCTATGCATTTTGGGTTTGCCAATGTGTTCTGATCCATCTCAATTCGCCTAATAATCTGTCCAAAAAGATACATATATAATTTTTTTTAATTTTTAAAATGTTATTATATTTATTTTAATTTTTATTGTCATAATAAAAGTTCTATACTTATAAAATACACTCTATCATATTTTTATTGATATGTATTAAAACTTGAAATGGTGAACTTTTAGACATTTACTATTTTTAAATTATATTATAAACTTGAATCTTATTTTTATTTTTATTGATTAACGATTTTACACTTTTTGTGAATTATTGAAAACTTCTTTAATCTTAAGTTTAAACTGCCTAAACCAAACTGCTCATGGTTCAATTTGATTTTTGTTAAAAACATTAAACCGTAAAAACTGCCTAAAACAAAAAATTATTTTTAATTTAATTGGTGGTATCTAAAAAAAGGGCCCAAACTCACTGCAAACGTTTGATCAGTTAGCACCAATAATCAATAACTAAAATGACGTGTAGCTTTGAATAAGAAAATCGTTTTTGTTTTAGCTAAACTTTATCTCGTTTACTGTTTTTTATATATCACATAGAAAAATACATAAATGTACCATATATTTTAGATTTAATGAAAACGTAAATAAGGGATTTTGGTCTTTATCAATTATATACTAAATAATGGATTTTGGTCTTTATCAATTATATACTAAGGCATTTACTTATTTATCAAATTAGGACCGTTTAATATTGCTCTTTTTTTTTTTTTTTGAATGGTTAATATTGTTCAATTTTGAGTAAGAGCAATGACCAAAATGTTGTTGAAGAGAGAAGAAAAAAAAAATACAACTAAACGAGATGTCCTTTCATTTCAATGTCATACGATAAGTTTAGAAAACAACATACTTTATAACGATATATTGTGGATGATATATTTTTACAGGAGTAGTATCCATTGAATAACAATGCAAAAAAGTTTTGGATTGTCCACATTGTACTCTTATTTATTTCTTAAAAAAATAAGATTAATACCTACGTAAACATGAGGAGGAGAAGGAGGAGGAGGAGGAGGAGGAGAAGGAGAAGAAGAAGAGAAGAAGAAGAAAGGCCGGTTGTTAGAGAATATCAAAAAAAAAAAAAAATTAATTCTCTAATTAGAATAAAGAATGTCGACCAATTCAAAGTTCTAAACAACAATTGGTTGGATTAACATTACTTTCATACAAATATTATATATGCATTGACGGGGACATCAAGAAATACTTTTGGCATTTACCACAAAATGTACTAATAACATAGGTTTCGGCCTGCAATTACCACCAATGTTAAGAATACTAAATAAGAGGTCCGTTTCATTGGTCTTTATATATGCATTGCTAGCCATAATGTGCAACAAATTATTGTATCGCTGCAAGTATTGGAAAACCATTAATTTCTCACACTAAACCTTGAGGATTGAGCAATGGTCGAAACTTTCTTGAGCCATGTCATTGAGAAATTGATTCAATTTCTCACCGAAAATGCGGCGGAATCATTGGAGGGATCGTTCCAGAGCGATGTCAAAAGTCTAAAAAAAGAACTCGAGAGGATTCAGCCTTTGCTAAAAGATGCAGACACAAAGTACTTGGAGACAGGAGATGTCAGCAAGGCGACGAAAGCATGGGTGAGGAGAGTAAGGGAAAAGGCCGATCACATCGAAGATATCATCGATGAATATCTTCGACGCGAGGGCCAAGATCGCGATGATGGTGTTTATGATCAGCATGAAAAACCACGCCGCGACATCACTTCTGAGATTCGAAGCGTTAAAGATTCGTTACGAGAGATCAAACCGTTGAGTGGTAGCGAAACAAGAAAGGTGGCACGACGCGACATTGTGGGTATTGGAGCCACAAAGAAGGAGGTTATAAGAAGGTTGACGGAGGGAGAATCTAGTCGCTCTGTGATTTCATTGGTAGGTCAAGATGGGATTGGCAAGACAACTCTAGCTTGGGAAGTCTACGACGACGATGTGGTGAAAGGGCACTTTGATTGCCGTGCTTGGATCACTGTGTCTCAATCATGCGACGCGGAGAAGCTTCTAAGGACCATGACAAGTCAAATTCTCCTAGGAGGCGAAAGAATGGCGGAAGAATCTACTGCGGATGAGGCGACCAATCATCTAAGGCAGTATCTAGTGGCAAAGAGGTACGTCATTGTCTTCGATGATGTTGGGGAAAAAAAGATTTGGGAAGTCATAAAGCATTCTTTGCCCGAAAATGAAAAAGGCAGTAGGATAATAATCACAACGCGCAATGCGGTTTCTTGTAAGGAAAACTCGTGTGATTATGTCCTAGATTTAAAACCTTGGTCGCTGTACATGGCTTGGGAATTATTTTGCAAAAAGGCGTTTGGAAATAATTACGATTGTAAGAGGCATTGTTCTGAAGGGTTCAAGCAATTGTGCTGTGAGATTATTAGCAAATGTGAAGGCTTGCCATGCATTATTTCAACCGTTGCTCGTCTCTTATCCACCAAAGAGAGGGTTTCCGAATGGAGAGGAGTGCTCGAAATTCTCGGTTCGGAGAACGACAAAATGAATGTTATTTCAAAAGCTCGCTCTCTGATGAGTTACTTTGATCTACCTTACCACCTCAAAACCTGTTTGCTATACTTCGTCGTCTTTCCTCGAGGCCATCGAATTTACGACACTACGCTGTACGGACTGTGGATTGCTGATGGTCTTGTTAAAGCAAGAGAAGACAAGACACTGGAGGAAGTTGCTGAAGAGTACTTGAATGAGCTAATCCAAAGAAACTTGGTTGCTTTTCAAGTGATACCTGGAGAAAGTAAGTTATGCCAAGTCGATTACTTGTTGCATGAGATGATCTTATCAAGGGCTGATGAACTGTTCTTTTGTCAAATTTGGGATCAAAATAGGCCAAGATTTATCGGAAAAAGTCCTCGCCTGGCAATCTTTGGCGATCCACACAATGTTCTGGAAACTATTGATCAGAACAATGAGCTTCGCTCTGTCTTTCTTTTTAATGCCAGTAGTAAGAAGTTGACCAAGTCTTTTATCGCAAATCTGTTTGAAAAGTTCAAGCTTCTAAAGGTGTTGAGCATTGAAAATGCTCCTCTCTATAACCTTCCAGATGAAGTAGAAAGTTTGTTCCACTTGGATTACTTAAGTTTGAAGTATACGGCTCTCAAGAAGCTTCCGAAATCCATTGGTAAGCTACGCAATCTACAATCACTGGACGTGAGATATACCCTAGTAGAAGAGCTACCTATTGAAATTAACAAGCTTCGAAAGCTTCGACAACTTTTGGCCTACAATACGGCTTGTGACAGGCTTGGAGGTTTCCGCGGATTGAAGATACACGAAGGATTCGGATGCTTGGAAAGCTTACAAACACTAACATTGGTAGAAGCACACCCCGGCATTGATGCGGCTAGTTTTGTAAAAGTGTTAGAGAAGTTAAAACAGTTGAGGTGGTTAGATGTTTGCCAATTGACCGCGGAAACAGCTAGGGCTCTTTGTGGTTCCATTGCAAAGATGAACCGCCTCGAACGGATATGCCTAGCTTCGGTCAACAGAGATGAAATTCTAGATATACATGAGATGCCATGTTCCGATCACGTTCACTTGTGGGACGTACTTCTGATCGGCCCGTTGAAAACAATGCCTGACTGGATCCCGAGGCTTCGAAGTCTACGCTCGTTGGTTTTGCAACACGCAAGATTGGTCGATGAACCGATCCAATGTCTCAAGGGCTTGACCAACTTGGAGGGCCTTTTTTTCATGCACAATGCATATGATGGAGAGGAGCTTCATTTTGAGGAAGGTTTCTTTGAGAAACTCAAGAGCCTTACCGTAAGGGGATTGAAAGGACTGAAGATGGTGAGGATAGATAAAGGAGCATTGCCTCTTGTTGAAGTGCTTCTTATTGTTGAGAGCCCTTTGCTGAAGAAGGTGGAGACCATTGAGCACTTGACAAACACCAAACAACTCTTGGTTGAGATTCCACAACCAATATTTCAGTCTGGAGGATCTGTCAATATTGAAATAAAAGGTACACCCCACTATTGCACTTTTGTTTTTAAATAAAACAATATTAGTATAATTCTGAGGAGAATTCCATTCAAGAAAATAAATAATTTTTAGGACAACAAATATGTGATTTGGCATAATTAAGGAAAAATATCTTACCAGTAAAACACGGTTTTAATAGTCAAATAATGACTTCATAGTCACTATATTTGATTAAGAAATGTTCGAAAATTTATGTATTAATCTGATGGCTAAAACTGTATCCTATTAATAGGGTATTTTGTCGTAACCCACTATAGATTTCTTCTTGATTTTTAATTTGTATCTCTATTTATCTTGATCTTTTTACCTGCTTGTTTGCTCATGCTCATTTAATACTCTCTTCTTAATAACTTTGTCTCTTTTTCTTCTTTTATATCTTTCCCCTAAATCTCTCTTTTGCATTTATATATCTCTTTGCTGCTAATATATACTTTCTCCCCCACATACTAACCAGTTCACCCCTAATTGCAGAAAAAGTTTCCCAAATAGCTTTCCCTACCATTGAAGAACAGGAATAATGGAATTGAAGTTTGACTTAATATGTTGTCTTCTTCTGATCTTTCATCATCAAGGACACAAATCAATGACTTTATACTTGATAGTGTATGATTTGAAATAATAAAGAAGTTGCTAAACTTTAGTAGTCCTATTTATTTATCATGTCTTTTTTTTTTTTTTTTTTTTTTTTTTTTTTGGGGGTATTTTTTTTTAAAAACAGTTTTCCTGCGTTTTTTTTTTTTTTTTTTTTTTTTTTTTTGTATTGGGTGTATATTTTTTTAAAAACAGTGTTCCTGCAGTTTTTAGTTTTTATTGATTTATAATTAGTTATGTTACTTTTGAATAATTAATAATAGCATTTAATATATTTATTTCTAGTATATTATCCGACAAAGAAGAAGAATGCGCAATATCTTTGTCGCAGAATACGTGTGAAAAGTAGAGATTATGATGAATTTAGGTGCTTTAGGTGAAAAGCACAGTAGTTTGGCAACACTTTTATTGGACAAACCATCTCAAATTATTGCTTAAATAAACTCAGGAGAAAAAGAGTGCGTAACTAAATAAATAAATAAAGAGACTACTTTTTTTAATAGATAAATAATTGAACAAACTAATTACCGCCTGAAAAGATTCCTCAAAGAAATCTGAATTTTTCAGAAAAGTTCATGAATATTCCTTTTGATACTGTTGAAAATTTGAATGATGATATGATGTATGATGATAGGCTGAGAATAATAAATTAAAAGAAATTGTATTATTTAAGAGCGTAATATTATGAAAATATTAAGAGTGCTAAATACAAATTTTATTTCAGACTCTCTAAAATGGATTTATTTGATTTAAGATATTTTATGACCTTTGAACTTGTTACAGTCTTTCATTGAAAAATTTTTAAGATTAAAAATATTAGGGGTTTTTTCTTTGGCTGAAAAAGACCGGTTTGTTCAATTAAAATATTGTGACCTTTGAATATTACATCGTTCATGTGTGAAGCTTAAAATTATATTGATTCCATAGAATGCATTACATCCTTTTTGGCATAATTTGTAAATTTCTATAAATTAATTAATCGTTTTGGTGCTTGCACTATAAAAAAATTGACATTTAACGTCTTTAATTAGACGACGGTTTTACCACTATGATAAAAATAGAAATGACTATTTATGCATATAGAATAAGAGAGCAATATATACTATAATCTCCAGAGAACTTATGGAATTCATATATATTTATGATCACACAAAAAGAAAAGGCTGTATTTTTATTTTTATTTTTATTTTTTTGAGTGACAGGAGGAACTTCGGGTAGGGTGAAAATACTTTGGTGGCGAATATGTCGAAAAGATGAAATTTGTAACGAGATATGCATAAGAAAGTATTACGACTCTCGGTTCTGTAGGAAACGCAAGCACAGCCGATTTGGCATCCGTGTATATATGTGATACATTAAACAAGAGTGAATTAACTTGCCAAAAATAAAAATAGATAAATAAGAGTATTGTCATGTAAACGCAACCACTAACCATGGGCCCAGATTCAATTCCATTCGGGGATGTTCAGGGATTTCTTGTATAAACTATAAAAATGGGACAAGATGACATTAATAATTTTTTTAATTAATAATAAAAAAAATCCTATATAACGGGGTGGAGATGGAACACTAAAAATATGTGCATATATATAATTTAAATGTCAGACTATTTTAACCATGAGGTAGTCTAATTTATTTACTCTTAGCTTGGGTATGTTTATATGGTCTTTTCAAATGGGGACTAAAAAGAAATAGTTGAACATCTTTGGTGGCCTTTATTGTTTGGTTTCTCCGTCTATTGCTTGATGAGATTTATTATACTGCCATATTCCACTTTAACTTAGAGATGAGTACGAGAATGACCCCCAAAAAAAAAAAAAAATTGATATTTGAGCTTTAAACTGGATTATTACCAAATCCCATTTCTCTTTCCAAAACATTTTCTTCTTATCAAATGCCCTGAGCCAGAACTTGAAATCTGTTTAGTACCCTTTAACAGTCTGAGTCGTGATTAAGCCAAGTCTATTAACAACCAAACACCTTTTCAAAATCTTTAGGGTTACGCAAAAAAAAAAAAAAAAAAAAAAAAAGACCCAACAACAACATTCAAGTACAACTGCAAATAGAGAAGTATTTACATTTAAAAAAAAAAAAAAAAAAACACCTTTTATTGGTAAAATATCAATTACAAGGAAGAAAGGATAAGATATGCTCCGAATATTACAGAAAAAAATTAAAAACAACACAGAAAAAATAAAAGCATTAAACAGGGAAAATCTAAATACAAACAAAAGAAAATGCAGTTATATCTTCCTAAAACATCTCTCCAATTTAGAATGATCAAAGAGACGTATTGGCATCTTACTTTGAACGAAAGAGAAAAATAAATAATAAAAGATTTCCCAGAAGGTAAATAACTCTGTTCCTTTAGTATCAAATAATGTATTCATCAAAACTTCACCCATACAAAGGGTTTTAGTTCAAATAAATACATGATCTTTCCAAACATAAAGAGACTTTGTTGCACTGTTGGCAAAGACGATATTGGGTTGCTTCACAGTTAATCAACTTGTGAGGGTATAAATAGACCGCCTATAGACTAGCACGTCCTATAACAAGGAACTACATGCCGGGCTCGGGCCGATCGAGGACGCGAAGGATTCAAAGAAATCTCGTGATAATTACCTGTAGTGCCTTTAGACACACTGTACAGTGCTCCCCCGAATGGTCAGACTACTCTAAAGATGAGAAGAGAATGATATTCACACCAATACTAGATCCCCTTCTTCTTCTTGCTCTTCTTGTTGCTCGGGCAACCGCCCTTCCCGATACGGAAGAAGGATGCGCTTAATTTCTTCGGCGCTAAGCGTCTCATACTCTAGCAGTGCGTTCGCTAGTGCATGTAATGCCTTCTCATGCTGCAAAAATTTCAAACAAGATATATTGTCATTTCAAACCAACAACAATATATATATATATATATATATATATATAGTAGCAAAGGAAAAAAGAACGAACTAATAATACAGTAGTAAACCGACAAGAGATCTAGGAATATCTTAGATCTCCAAGAATATATACTCAGTTTTACATAAATCCGGAATAAACTTGGACATGAAGATAGGAAAAGCATGCTTGTGGGTACAATGATGGAAAACTTGGGAGAATAAAGAAAATTATGCAACTGCCAAAAACAACTTAAAAAACACCACCTGTTTAACACACCAGATAAGTGGAAGGAAATTATCTAGTTAGATTTTTTTTTTTTTTTTGGATAAATTATTCATATAAGAAGATTGATTATTATACAGAAACATTAAAAGATACAGCGATAAAAAATGTGGAATTAAAATAAGCCTTTAACATTGACAGGTAAAGACTGTTGAAGTGTCATCTATCAATCAATAGATATGCCCCAAAGCATGTGCCTAAAGGAGTTGGAGGGTGGTAATATATGCAAATTGCACTTTCAGATATGTCAGAGCAACGAAGGTTTTAAGAACAAACCTTCTTCAGAAGGGCTTTTACACGATCATACGCTTCTCTCAAGAGCTTCACAACCTGCGTTATCCATAAATAAATTAACAACTCATATACTCGTAATAAATATCGATATATCATCACAGAAACAAAAAGCCCAAATACCAAAAACATACTTCAGCATCAATACGCGATTGCATTTCTGAACTAGGCCGTTCTTTTATATGAATTGGTCCAATAGCATCGCTCATCCCACAGTTCGATACCTTAAACAGGAAGATGAAAATGGAATTAGTGATAAATACAAAGAGATGCCGTTCCCAGGAAAGGACAGGTGCTTATCAAGAAATCTTCTTTGGATAAATAACCAAAAATCACAAAATATGAATGCTCTAAGAATTTGGTAACCAGAAAAATATTATTTTCGAGATATCCCTTGTCCATTACATGCAGCAATGACACTAGTTTTTGTTGATTTTACAAGGCCATAAGAGAGGACATACCATGTATTGAGCAAGCTCTGTAGCTGTGTTCAGATCACTACTTGCTCCAGTTGTTATCTGGTCCTGACCAAAAATGAGCTCCTCTGCGACTCTTCCTCCCATGCAGACATCAAGACGGGCCAGTAACTGCTTCTTGCTAATAGACGTCTCATCATTCGAAGGAAGCTGAGTCACCATTCCCAGGGCAGACCCACGAGGCATTATTGTAGCCTTGTGAATCGGATGTGCACCCTCTGTATTCAATGCAACGATTGCATGGCCACTTTCATGATATGCTGTAAGCTGAAAGACACATAGTTATGTTAGCAAGTGATAATGAAATTAAGACCCAAAGTTGTTAGTGGACAGAAAATTCACGTTAGCAGGGGTCTGATTTCAACACTGTACAAGAACATAAATATATAGAGCGCACAATGTGCTTGCACAGTTTCAACCAAAATGGGACCATTTCGGTCGAAATCCCCCACCACCTCCCTCTCCTTTCTTTTTTTTATAAGTCCTTTATTTTGTTTTATTTTACTTTACTTTTTTTCATTTTACCTAAAATTTATTTACCATATGTTTGTTTCATAGGTTCGAACTACTGCTCAAACCTTTTTACAGCAGTGTTTTCTTTCACAAAATTTAAATTGTTGTTCAAACCTATACCCCACACGAGCCCTTATTTTTTATTTTGATCCTTTTTTTACTTTTCTTTTCTTTTTTTTTTTTTTTTTTTGCTTTCAGCCCAAAGCTTTTTTTTTTTTTTTTTCTTTTTTTTTTTTTTTTTGTTTTTCCCCTTTTTTTTTTTTTTTTTTTCAACCCAACACTTTTTTCTTTTTTTTTTTTTTTTTGTTTTTCCCCTTTTTTTTTTTTTTTTTTGCTTTCAGCCCAAAGCTTTATTCTTTTTTTTTTCATTTTGGTTTTTTTCTTTGGATTTTATATTCAAATTTAATATGCTTTTAAATGTGCCTCATTTCTAAAACTTTATTTTGGAAACGTTTATTGTGATGTGCATTTCCCTTTGTCTACGCCTCATTTAATTGCTTTTCTAATTTGGCCTATTGAAATATGTTTTCCCAAATGTGCTCCTACTTAAATGTTTTTTCTTATGGTTTTCTGAAAAAGTATTTTTTTTCCAAGTGGCACTGATAAATTCTGTTTCTTTCTTTCTAATTTCCTTGTCGAAATAATTTATTCTCAAATGTGTTTCTACTTAAACATCTTTTTTCATAAACATCTTTTTCCTTGTAGTCCTACCAAAATTGTTTGCTTCACATTTTCTTTTTGCCTATGATGGATGGAGTAGTGTGTGGAATTATCATTAATTGATACTTCACCACTTTTTAAAAATGTGCTCTACTTAAAATATTTTTATACTAAACCAAATTCTTAAAAGAATTTTTACATTCATTTATTCAAAAAATTAAACAAATTGAATGCACACGGGCATAGCACGTGTTTTTAACTAGTAGCAAAAGAATAAAACAAAAATCGGAGGAAATAAATATGACATCTCAAGTTCATACCACATCACAATTTGGTCAGAAACAAATGTTCTGTACTATGAACACAGAAACGTAGTATAAGATATTTTGGAGATAATTCTTTATGGTCCCTAGTATTGTAGGCTACGTTTGGTTCCATGAGATAGATATGTAAATAAATAAACAACCCTAGTATTGGATATTTTGGAGATAATTCTTTATGGTCCCTAGTAGTGTAAGCTACGTTTGGTTCCATGAGATAGATATGTAAATAAATAAACAACAAAATAAAGATAAAAATATGATTCAGGGAAATTCTAAGATCAAAAGAAACTATAAAGAATTGCCAAGATAACCAATGATAAAAAACCAAACTGCAATATCCTTCTGCATAGGAAAATCAGATATCAACCAACAGGCAACAACAAAAATCTATTCCTATTTAAGACGGGGCCAAATAAGCAAAAAGATTAAATGCATGAATCACTTGATATAAGCCTCATGAATGAATACATACCTTCTTTGACTCTTCAGATATGAACATCGTTTTCCGCTCTGTGCCCATTACTATTCTGTCCTTTGCAAATTCCAACTGTGCAGCAGTCAACTTGTCAGCACCATCAACAGCTGCCTTGATGGCAGCGATGTTCACCAAGTTTGCAAGATCTGGTAGAGAAAGAACGAGGAAAGTTCATCTCAGAAAATCTGATTAGTTCATGGAGAAAAAAATCATTTTCCATGTCTTAGAAATATTATTTTCAACAGAGCAATAGGTAACAGACCTGCTCCATTAAATCCTGGTGTACCACGGGCAATAGCTTTAACATCAACATCTTCAGCCAATGGTTTATCCTGTAAGTAGAGGTCCAATATCTCTTGACGACCTCGAACATCAGGATTTGGAACAACAATCTAAAAGAGCGGCAATTGTTATCATACTACTCAATTTAACATCAGACAATCATTTAATTTGATGGCAAAAAAACCAGATAAATTGTAGCACATAACAGTGAGATAAATATTTAGTAGCAAACTGGCAGTAACTACTTAAAGAACTAGCACATACAACTTCATTTAACCAACCTAGATGACTAAATGGCAGCAAAACCCAACAACCAAAAGATATAGTTAATTTTAAGTTACACATCAAGCAGTTTCAAACATAAATTTCATGTTCTCGAGACTTTTTTTTCTAAAAAAAGAAACAATCTTCATTCAGAGGGAGAGAGAGAGAGAGAGAGAGTACAGAGAAGAATAACAGGACAAGTTATCCTCTAAAGACAAATGACAGAGACCAAGGAACAACCAATAGCAACTAAAAACTACCCCAATTCTAAAATTAGAAAAAATAAAGGGATATCTCTGAAATTTTTACATGAACTCCAACAAAGCCTGTAACTGAATCCTATACCAAAGAAAAACATCCTGAAAATCCAAAACCTCTAAAAGTAGAATCTTCAGTCTATGTAAAAATCGTGAAAATCCAAAAACCTCTAGAAGTAGATCCTTTGGTCAATATAAAAATCAATATATCATAAACTTTAAGAGAAAATTAGAGAGCTAACAGAAAAAGATTAATAATACAGTAGTTCACAGAGGAAGAAACAACTTACATGCCTGTCAAATCTACCTGGCCTCGTTAAAGCTGGATCTAGAATATCAGGCAAGTTTGTTGCAGCCATTAAAATTATTCCCTACAAGAAGTGATAAAAAGAGTTAGAAATGCCGAGAGAGAGTGGGGGTGAGGGTGGGTTCAAATACCTCATTCTGCTCAAATCCGTCCATCTCCACAAGTAGTTGATGCAGTGTTTTCTTCGTATGCCCTTCCCATTGTTTCCGAGTGGAACCAACAGCATCTATTTCATCAATGAAAATGATACATGGCGCCTACAAAAAGTTGGAGCATATGGATGAACAATCAGAAAAACACACAAAGTCTAATAACTTGCTTTTATTTATTTATTTATTTTGGTTAAGTAATCAAATTATGTAGCATCAACAAAAAGCAGAACTGGAACATCTGGGTAAGATTCAACGAGGGATCCCCCAAGAAAGAACTGCACGTAATGACTTTTCTTTTTCTTTTCTTATTTTTCCCCTAACCAATTTGCATATCTGATCTAAATTAAAAAAGTATGTCTGTTTGGATTCACAAGTAACTCCTAGACTCTGCACAGCTTTTCCACTACAGATGTAAAATATATAACAAATTACGATTTTGCAGCTTTTTGAAGGGAATCACCTTGACTGTGCCTTGTAAGCATATTCCACATTTTAGTCTACTATATCACCTCATGGAGAGTAGAATTAAGAAACACGGTAACCCAAAACAGCTAAATGCATTGTGCTTGATTTCTGGTACCAAAAAAAAAAAAAAAACACACACACACACAAAAGTAGAATGGTCTTGCATGCCTAATTTGCCACCACAGAGTCTAAAACAAACCTTCTTCTTTGCTGCTTGGAATAAGGATCTTACACGCCGAGCACCAACTCCCACGAACCTGGCATATAAAAGTAAAAGTTGATCAATATATTGCTTGACCATGCGTACTGCAGTTCCTTGGGGTTCATATCAAGCTCCCCAACAAAAGGCAACTTGATTAGATTTAGTTTGCCAAAGCTCATACTTCTATAATGTAGCAATTATACAAAATAAGTTCTTGTAGTGGCCCAGTGGCATACAAACGCTTGAAGTTGACTTGATAGTTTTAAGGCAATGACACCTCATATGAGAAAAAGGTTAGAATGGTACAATTCCAGAGGCCACACAGCAGCACAGATGAGAGAAGGAAATACGAATGATTCAACATATAAACAATGCAGAAGAATATCAAACATTTAATGAATCTACTATAGATAAATTCATAAGCTATATATTCTTATATATATACATACACACGCACACACATATATATATATATGTTATATAAATTCAGACTATAAACCACATATATACATATAGGTATATATTTATATATACATAAATGTATTACTCACATTTCCTCAAATTCAGATCCTGCTCTATAGAAAAAAGGCACTCCAGCTTCTCCAGCAATAGCCTTCAAGATCCAACATGATTCAAACAAATATTAGAGTGCAATGTAATTTTATCACCAGATATCAGTAACTGCATTGCAATCTGAATATCAGAAGCAGGAAAGTACTTGAGCTCAAATATAATTGCTTGAAGTTAAAGGAAAATAGGAAAGCACAAAGGAGAAGTTACCTTGGCAAGTAGAGTCTTTCCAGTTCCCGGTGCTCCCGTCAAAAGAATCCCCTAAAAGTATGTTTGCGTTAGGCTCAGACGGTACAAAGTAAAGTAACAAAGAAAAAGTAAGCAGAAACCAAAGGGGTAAAGAAAAATGGGGAAGAAAAAACAAAGCACCTTTGGCAACTTGCCCCCAAGGCGAGTGAACTTTGTAGGATTTTTGAGGTACTCTACTACCTCCTCAAGCTCTTGCTTTGCATCATCACAACCTTTAACATCCTTGAAAGTTTTAACATTCTGCAAAAGTATAATGTATCTTCCTGTCAGGAGATAAATCCAAAATATATTCTTTTGTAAATAATAAGCATTTTCCCAATTTCAAAGTTATAAAACCCAAAATGTAACCAGGTCCCCATATTTATGCATACATTTAATCAATTTAATACAAACCTTTTAATTTCCTTTTATTAATTGAAGAAATTCAAAATAGAGCTATTTAGATAGGAACTGTATTAAATAACATCAATACTTTGTTGCTCAGCACGTTAAATGTATCTACCTTTTCCGGCATAATTTCTTTATTCAATTCTTTTGGTGTGTAGGAAGAACTTGAGCCAACACCTGAAGTTCCTATACCACCTAAGCTCCCTATGTACTTCTGAAGTGCAGCAGCGCCCATAAACCTTAAGGCAATTAAGACATTTTAATAAGAAGAACAATTCAAGATCACTGGCTAGAACTAACAAAATACTGAGAGAAAGAGAGAGATACAGAGAAATAGGTTATGCAAAAGATATCCCATACCACACTAATCCAACAGCAACAGTGAATAAAATTGTTGAGATAAGCTCCTGTGCAAAACGTGATTTGTTTGACACTTTCGGTTCAACCTAATAGATGAAACAACAGGTACTAAGATTAGAAGATCAAAAAAGATAAAAGAGCAAGCAACAGTGGCAATGAGGTAATATGATACAAGGCAAAAATGAGGTAACTTTTACACCACATTCTTTACTGATCAAAGACGCCATATTACACTGCATGATTCGAATCTTACCATCATCACATGCAAGGGCTGCTTCTCATTAATTCCAGGATTGAGGAACGGCTCATCCATGTTGCCTGAAGCTCGCTGCTTCAGTTCTTGCAACTGCATGTATAAAGTAACACTTATTCAAATAATAATACCCGCATAATAAGGTTGTAAGATGAGAGACAGGTCAAGGGAACGCAGAATGCTTTATGTGGAGAAAATGCAGTAAATTGAGATTCTTTAAACGGATTAGTGCCAAAGTAAGCAACTGGTAGACGTGACTGTGATTAAGAGTAGTAGCAAAGCTCGCCAGCATTCAATGTCGAAACGAGGCAATCATGAAGGTGCCACCTTCTAGTGGATACCAAAGAAAGCACGCATTGTATAAAAGAAAATAGAGTAAGAAATTGAAAAATATGGAAAAGAATAAAAAATATGGAAAAGAAGAAGAGTTCAATAACACGTGCAACCATGAACCACACCTATGGGAAATTGCAAAGGACAGAGAAAAAATGAAAAGAAAACAAAAGTACGCTGCATTACCAATGAAGGAAGAGTAGAAGGTTTTCCAGATTCCTCATCTGGAAGATATTCAGCAATAGCATTAGTAATCACGAGAGCTCGAAGATACTCCACAACTCCTCTACTATCTACAGCATGATCCCTTTGCTCAAACCGCTTGAGGACGGACTCAGGACTAGAGAAAACCAGAAAGAAAATTGCTAAACTGCTTTTTTCTAATAACTCACAAGTAACACATGCCACAAGAGATAGAGAAACATAATTATTTTAGCACGTCACTGCCTCTACATAAAAAACTATGTCCCTCTACAACAAAAACATATTCGGACAATATTAACAATGAGACACACAAATAAAAAATGGGGACTTCGTACAATCTATGTTCATTTTTTACTCGTTTCACATATTTCATAGCAACCAAAGCAGAGCAAAATGAAAAATCCAAACTTGACTCTCATCTCATCTCGTGCTTCTTCTGTTCTTCATCATCTTAGCCCAACTTTAACTAACACAAGAAGTGGTGAAGCCACAAATCAGTTAATGGAAGCACCTAACCCACACAGTTTTAGAAATTTATTATTCAACACTAAAAATTTTCTAAAACTTCAGTTGTGCCCCTACTTAAAACTATAATTGTACCCCCACTCAATAATTGAAATTTATCACCACTCTAATTTTCTTTCACAGTGGCCCACTGGGGGGAAAAAAAATTCCTTGCTCCACATTCTAAACCAAGTTCTCGTACCATAATTCCATAAAACAAACAAACATGAAATTACAGCCTCAAACATTTACAGCACATTCCATTAATTACTAAACTACTCATTCTCAACCAAACAACATCATATTGAATAGAACTCATCCTACAATCTAGTCTTCTAACCTTTCCATTCATTTTTTTTTCTTTGTTTGCTTTTTGGGGGGACAGCTGTAGCCTCAAACACATAAAATTGCATTACTTTCAACTTCCAAGTTCCAATTCTCAGCAACAACATCAAAAGTGAATTCTACGTACAAGAAAGTCTAACCTTTGCTTGTTGAGCTCAGCCAGTAAAGCGCTCTGCTTGGCTGCGTCCATCGGATTCGCATCCGCCTCCGCAATCAACCGCTCCAACCGCTTCTCCTGCCGCCAGAACGGCCACCAACTCAGCCAATCCCACATCAAAATCTTCTCAAACCCTTCTCTCACCCGGGTCCAAAACCCCATCAAGAACACCACCAAAGGCAATCGGCTCTCTTCCGCCACCAAAGCCCCGCCCTTTCCCTCGCTCTCCGCCGCATTTCCCTCGAGTTCCTCCGCGGAACCCCAACTCGAATCCTCCTCGGCTTTCCGCTCCTCAATACCGGAAACCCCGGGGGCTGCTCCCTCCGGGGCAACCGATTCCGGGCTCAAATTCGCGCTCTCCGGCTGCAATGCGCAGAAAATCGCCGTGAGAACCCCGCCGGGGTTTCGGAATCGCGTCGAGAGAAAATGAGAAGAAAGCGAAAGCGGATTGTGGTTATTGGGATATGGTGAAGAGCGAGAAAACTGAAAACGCTTTGAAGAAGAAAGGGATGAAATAGGAGAGAGTGAATGCTTGAAAAGCAGGGAAGCTTGAAGGGTAGCCATTGGAGTCAAGAAAAGGTTTTGAACCTTTTCTTTCTCTCTCTACACTCCAATCTTCTCTCTCTAGAAAGTAGAGGACCGTTATGGATATGGAAGAGAGAAGGGAGTTTTGAGAGTTGAGTTTGAGAGTTTGAGAGTTTGAGAGTTTGAGAGCCACACAAGGCTTGGAGTTGAATAAGAGAGAGAATAAACCTTATCCCTGGGAGGGGATTGATTGAAACTGGCGCCGGCTTCGCCTTCCTAATTGTGGCTTCTTTTTATTCTATTTAGGATTAACAAATTAATCTCAAAAAAGCCCCCCAACTATATGTCAAATTTTATTTTGACGTCTGAATTATAAAATATTACAAAATTATCTTACAATGTGCGGGAAAATGGATATGCTGGTCTTGGTAAATTCTGTTCTGTGCGGATGTTAACGTTTTCCATCTAAATAGGTGTTATTTCATCTGATATAGTCTTAAGGGCATTTACAACTAGAGTGATATAGTCTTAAGGGCATTTACAACTAGAGATCCAGCCACCGACCCGGGCCTGTATGCTCGAATAGGGATTTCGAGCTAAATCGGAAGGCTAAGCGAGTCAGGACCAGACTCAATTGGTCTGAACGTTTATAAGGTAAATTAAAATAAAAAAGAGACTTTAATTTCAAGCCTAGAACCTAAGGTCTTGTTTATTTCACCGATTCGAGTTTTCAGTTTTAGGTTTCTACAGTCGAAAGCTCTCAGAAAATGTCACATCTAATTTTTTTCTGCTACAGTGAAAAACTCTCAAAAAATGTCACATCTCAGCTCGAATTGAAAACTCAAATCCGCAAAATGAACGAGGCCTAAGCCTAACATGGCCCAGGGTTTATGCATGCCAAGTCCGGGCTAAAATAATTAAACTTCGGGGCACACTTGGCCCAACCAAACTTTGAGTCCTATTATTACAATCCACTCCAAGAATTCAAATGCTCAACCCGTACAATTGAAGTGTTGTTTTTCATCATTTTCTTAATAGTCAATAGGAAAGCATATCAAAATAATTACAATCAGTTTTGAAATATTATAAACTTCAAACACATGGGACAATTTATTGCAACTTCTTTGACCATTTTTAAGGTTTACCGGTCATTTTTGGGTTATTTATTTTTTTATATCTTGTATTTTAAGTTTTTACAGAAACTAGACCTTCGATTTTTAATCTTATCAAATATATATCTTTGAATTAAAAATAATACACAACTATATACTTTATCTCAGTTAATAATTAATTTTGACCTTTAAATGACTAACTACCTCCTTAATAAAAGAGGCCAAAACTTTAAGAGAGCGGGCTAGAACTTTAAGAGAAATAGTAAAAATTGTTGAACTTGCTCTTAAAGTGCATAAGTATGATATTATTTGCATGTCGTCCATGTGTTGTGTGTATTGGAGACTGTTCTTCTTTTTTCTTCAAACTAGGTTTGTAACGTGCTCTGCACATATTGCCGTGATGGAGACACATGAAGAGTTTATTGTTTACCGAATAGTGAGAAATTCATTTATATAATATTTTTAAGGATTTTTGAATTTATTTTAAAAATGAATATGTGTAAATATAACAATTGACACACAAAAAAATTAAGTAGAGATACATTTGAAGAAAATTATTTTAACCAATCAAAAATATAATAAGAACACATGCAAAAAAAAAAAATTACTCTCATAGGAGTAAAATAAGGAACAACATATTTTCAAAGACACACGAAAAAATTAAAATGTAAATAAAATCACAAAAAAATAAAGATAAAAAAGGAAAAAAAATAAGCGGAGGAGCTGGAAGAAGAATTTTGGCTCTTTTATATATTGTTAGGAAAAAAATCACAAAAATAAAGATAAAAAAAGAAAAAAGAAAAAAAAAATTAAGTGGATGGGTTGACGTCATAGAGTAAAACTTTGGCTCTTTTATGCGGTAGTCATGTAAAAAAGAATTTTAACTCATTTATGTATTGTTAAAAAAAATATATAAAAAATAAAGATAAAAAAGGAAAAAAAAGAAAAAAAAAAGAAAAAAAAACTAAGTGGAGACAAGAGAAAAATTTTAACTCTTTTATGTATTATTAAATGTAATATTTTTATTAAATGTTTCCTTTTGAAATACCTTCCTTGCCTTTGTTTTTGCTTCTATTAAAATTTTGTTCTAAACGTGTCATTATTCCATCTTATATTTTTTTGACCGCACTTTATTATTTTTGTTTGTTTCTAATTTACACCTATTATAATAATTTTTCTCAATTGTACCTTTCGCATTTCTTTAAAATTATGTCATTTATTCAAACGCAACCGTCACATTTTTTCCCTAATTACTCCCATAAATAATTTTTCTCATATATGCTCTAACTAAACATGTTTGCTCTACTTAAACATGTTATTTATACAACAGTCTCAAATATTATTTTCTTTATGGAACTCCTAAGCAATTTACTATTTTACCATCTAATTTGTCTTACTAAAATCTCTCGCCCGTTGTAAAGTATATCCTGTTTTTGTATTTTTCTAAACTAATGTCAAAAGAACAATAAATAATAAAATAATGAATTATAAGAAAATTATTGTCATGCCCCTAAACCAGAATTAGTGACGTAGAGGCTCGTTTAAAAACTTAAACCTGTTTGAGAGAGAGATTAGCAAATATTTCAATTTCTTTCAAATTCAAAACATCTAGGTATTTCCAAACGAGCCCTTTTTATTCAAGAGAAATTCAATTTCAAGAACGATGGTGGAATTTCTAACCAAACCAGTTTAAAACCACGTCCCTGGTACTAAGTCAGGAATTCCCATAGGTGTTTAGCATACATGAATATAAACAAAAGTGAATGTGACATCAACCACAGTCTAGTAATATTTAAGTTTACAATCCATAATCCTTTATACATGCCTTGAAATAAAAGATAAGAGGGAAGACAACTCTTCACTTCCCGAGATCAAGTCCACGTCACCGGTAGTAGCTACCTACTCCGCACTACTCCTCGCGTCTCCTGGAGGGGTTTAATACATTTAAAAACAAGAAAGGTGAGCGAAAGGCCCAGTAGGATATAATTTTATAAAGCATTTAAAATAAAGGTACTCACGGTCCGAAGATATACACCCAGAACTGATCATCCTTTTTTTTAGAAAAAGAAATACTCACAGTAGAAAATATCTATATAATGAAAGTGTGCAGCTCATCATATCACTAAACAAGAAGCGGTAAAAATGTCTGTCTATGAAAAGTGTAGAGCCATAATTCCACTAAACAAGAAGTGGATCCGTACGGGTTTCGGGACCTGCCCCTAAGGATGCGATTCCCACATCCCGATCTCTGAGGCCACCATGCGTTGTATCATTCCTTAAATATTTCATTTTAAGGAATGATACTCTTTAAAATCTCATTTTTAAAATCATTGGAAAACTTAATAGCATTCTCATGCTATTTCTTTAAAAGTCATTTTCTTTAATCATGTTTTGTTCTAAAACATTTTCATTGGCTAAAACCATTTAAAGTGAGGCTAACAAGGATATGGACAAGAATATCCTACCTTTTGGATATCAAACCTGGTTTAGCTTTCCATTCTCCTAGCCTCCGTTTTCCTTTGAGGCTCCAATTCCAATCGTGCCACTAACTTTCCCATCAAAATCAACAATTTAGAGTTTGACTT